GTCTAAGTTATTGTCAGAAACCTGGTTTTAGGACTCAGGACTTAAATTTGATTTCTGTGTCTGTCATAAGAACCTTAGGTAAATCACTTGGCAATCTCTTTGACCACAGATTCTTTCCCTGTAAAATAAAATACTACTACTTATCATGCATGTCTTTTATTGAGTTTATTAATAAAACCAGATAAAAGCTGTTAAAGTACTTTGAAAAACCTCTGCATTGAATAGATGTATGGTGGTGTTTTGCTTCTGCTTTGATTGGATGGAAACAGAATTATGCCTCTGAAAAGCAATTACTAGATGTTAAAAACACATCACATCTGTTAGACCACACACACATTGCCAAACATCAAAAACAAACCATCCAGATGTTTGGTCTACCAGCATGCCAGCCATCTGGAGGTTTCCAAACATAGTGTCTTGTTCTTTATAATTTCAATGCCTTATTTTTTTTTCTAAATAGTTCTATGATCCCTGATAACATCAATGGAACACATACGGTGGTATGTCAATTATGCCCAGCCTTGCCCAAATTTCTAAAAAAGTGGAAATCCTTATGACAAACAAGGAATCGGTTCAAAGTTTAAATTTATGTAATATGATATTTTAGTTAGGCAAGGGCTTGAGACTTAAACATTAAGACCTTTAGAGTTAGATGTCACCCCTCCTTCAAAATATACACCAGCTTTCAGTGCTTGGGTTTTGTTAGGCAGAAATTGGAAAGGGCTCACTCTACTTCATCCCCTCTTCTAATCATGTTTGATAGGCTAGAGTAGCCTTGGTCAAGGCAAATTTTAGAAAAACACAACAGGGATATTTTAGAAAAAAAAAAAAAAACACTGGAAGGAATAAGGAAGGGGGAGACTATGCACCTGTACTACTCACTCAGTGAAGAGAGAGTGGGGAAGGCATATGATCATANTTAGAAAAAAAAAAAAAAACACTGGAAGGAATAAGGAAGGGTGAGACTATGCACCTGTACTACTCACTCAGTGAAGAGAGAGTGGGGAAGGCATATGATCATACTTCTAAGCTAACAGAATCCATCCTGCCCCGCGACCTGGCCATTCTGATAACATTGGTGTACCTTAGAGGAAGTAGCTATACATATGAGACTTTAAGAGTTCATTTTAAAAGTGTTTTAATCAGTGGTATGCTGGTAAATTTTTAAAAACTGGATCTCTGAAAAAAAATGCATGTATGCATTTAAGTACTTATGTTTATTATAAATTTCATTGATATGACATGTGTAGCATTCAATTTTCAGATGATAATAAAATATACAAAATTCCTTATTATAGTTCCATACAGCCAGTAGATTCTAACAGAACACTGCCATTGCTTTCTGCTGAGCTATTGCGTGGTTGTGAGTGAAGAATGTGTGTGGTTCCAATGTTTTGGTTGATATTTTTGTTTATGTGAGTGA